TTTGGTTTTTAAATGTTTTAAAATTCAGGCCACTGAAGTAGACCATAGGGTTCCTGTCCCTGCTCTGCATCCTGATGTATTTGCTCTACTTGTTGATGCTGAAAATCATTTAACATGTGAAAACCAGTTCTTCAGATCTCAGAATAATAGTCCTAGAGGAACTTCTGGGAAACTGTATGGTTTTTATGAACTTCTTCCTTCAAGCATGTATTTACCAGTTTAACTGATTGTGAAGGGTCTGGATGCTTCCCAGGCTGGGACCTGAATCCCAATAGCACTGGTTTATTACCCCTGTTTGTCTTTCATGGAACTAAGTACTTGTTCATAGTTTGATTGCTGACTTTCACTTAATATGTCCTAAATGTTACCTGAGTGTAAACTTCTTGGCAATACTTAATATCTATAATATTTGACAACACTTCTTTTATTTTCCACTTTTTAAATCCTTTTTCTTTCTCATTACTAAATGCATTTGCATCAATAGGACTGTTTTTACCTGGTCATTGAGCATTTCTGTACAGTTCATAAGAACCCAAGATGTGAATAATCTACTATCAATAGGACTGTTTTTACCTGGTCATGAACATTTCTGTACAGTTCATAAGAACCTAAGATGTGAATAATCTACCAATTTTAGGCCTTTACCTTAGTAATGTTCTTTCGGTTCTTTTTTAACTGAGCACAGAGGAATCTTTGCTGACCAGCATGGAGCCACAGCCCAGTTTGTGATCAATATCTTTATTGATGATAGATAGATAGATATCAGTAAGCATGACAGGATTAGGCCCATTCTTTCCATAGTCTGTTATCAGTAAGTGCTGCAGATGGAAAAATACAGCGAAATATGGAGATGCACAGAACATGGCAAAACTGTCAGGAGATGGGAAAATAAAACTTACATTTTAGAGGTTTGACTATTTCATGCAAGCTGTGAAAGACATTTAAAGATGTTCCCTTGTGACTAACTTTTACTTTAAAGGCAACAGCTGTATAGAATTTCAACATACTTTTTTTTTTTTCAATCCAAGATTCAGTTTCTTAAATGAGTTGCTGATAGTCTACAGGACTCTGTTTCCTTTATACTCAGCAGAGCCATTCAGAGTACAGGGAATTTTAAGCACTTTGGTAATGTTTGTATTTAAAAGCACTTGTAATGGATTGCAGGTGTATCCAATGTCAGCTTGCATGCAAATTTTGAGGGAGAATCCTGACTGAAAATAAGCCATTTTGAAAATATTATTCATCTTCAAATGAAATCTTACATCCAGACAAAACACATGTCTGCTGAAAATGAATTCCCATAAACATATTCTTCTTACAATTGCTCTATTTTTCTGGACACTCTGTTCTTATTGGCTCCTCATCTCCTTGCACTTGACACTGATCAGTAACATAGAGACCTATATTATTGTTAATTCATCATAAAAAAAGGCTAGAATGCATCAGTGGGTTTAGGTTATCCCTGCTGTGGGCTAACATATTTATTTTTATAGGGATTTGAGGGAGAACTACTGCCGAAATCCAGATGGATCTGAATCACCCTGGTGTTTTACCACTGACCCAAACATCCGTATTGGTTATTGCTCCCAGATTCCTAAGTGCGATGTATCGAATGAACAAGGTAACAGAGGAAAGGGTGATAACATGGCTTGAAGTAAATGCTTTACTGTTCCAAGCAGCAGATGGACAAGGCTTGAAAACTGGAACTTGAAGTAAATGCTTTACTGTTCCAAGTAGCAGATGGACAAGGCTTGAAAGCTGGAGAAGTTGGTCATGGTACATCTGCATTACACCTGTGCAGTTCTGCTTTGGCTGTATTTGCATATTTGGGATTCATCATGGTGTAAATGGGATTCATTTCTCAGTTCAGTTTTTGATTCCAGCAGGGAAAGCTCCAGCAAAGATTTGATATTGGATCTGATTTTTAGACAAGGTGAATCTTTGTGTCTGCTCCACTGTCTTTACCCTTCTTACTTTGAAAGGCTTTTTTCCAGAGCTGAGAAGATTTCCTTGGTTCACAGTCTTTTTATGGTTGCATATTAGGCCACCAAAAGTGATTTTCAATGTTTTGTCATTTTGCATATGCCTCCTTGTCTAAAATGTCTTGATCCTCTTAGCTTCAAGCTGTTAACTCTGCCTGTGAGGTCCACTCTGAGTCTTCATACAAATGTTTTTCCCATGAGGTCTTGGAATTATTTGAAGGAGCATTATGGCATCCTGAGAACTGGTGTCAATCACAGCGTGAACAGAGGCTAAGTCTGCAGACCTACAAACCTATATCAAGCTACATTGACATCTCCATCTTTAAATTTTAACCAATTTATCTCTTAAATTTGAAAAAGCCACAGTTGCAAGATTTAGAGAAAGAATTAAACTTTTGCATTTTTTCTGTGTTTCTTGCAAAGTATCAATTATCAAAAAGTAAAAATACTGATGAATATGAAGTGAAATGCTTTATGCACAAAGTCTTTGTAACAGTGATCATTTTGAACAATCCTCTTGAAAAGTCTCAAAAAGGCTTGTGATAAAAGCTTATGAATTAAACATGAGTTCTGCTGGAGCGAACAGACAAGATTTTGAATTACATTAAAATTAAAGTCGTGTTGAATTCTTGCTTTTGCCAAAGTAGTACTTAAGTCTAGAATAATATACTGTTGCCAGTATCTGGATTCTACACACAGCTAAGCTGTTTCAAATAGGCTGAGTGCCTACTTTTTCAAGAAGGAGGAATAGGGGAACATTTTCACTTTGTTTTGAACAACCAACTTCTGACAACTTTTATGATATTCTCTATGACCCTACTAAATTAATCAAAAAACAACTCTTTGGAAAAGTAATTTCCCCAGTGCATCTAAGTACAAAAAAAATTCAAAATGCTACTGTGTTGAGAATAAAGGTCTCAAACAAGAGTGTACCTAAAGTTGAAAACTTCTCTCTTTTTTTTTCTGATTTGATTTACAAAATTATCTGATTTATATTGCATAGAATTTGCTAAATTGAGCACTTATCTTTAATAATTTGGATTACTGACGGAAAGAAAGAGTTTTCAGTGTTGCACAATCACCTTCTGCTTTTCTGTCCCAACATTCTTTTTTTTCAGATTGTTATCGTGGCAATGGCAAGAGTTACATGGGGAATCTATCCAAGACAAGATTTGGGCTAACTTGCTCCACATGGGACAAGAATATCGAAGACTTACGTAGGTGTGTGCATACGAAACAGAGAGAGATGGTTCAGTGAGTCCTGAATAAATACTCCCTCCAGATGGCAATGCTTTTTCATCTGCAGTGATTCAAAAATATCCCCTTATGCCCTGGAGTTTTTTGTATCTTTTTTTTTTTAATCTTTATTTTTATCTTTTTTTTTTCCCCTCCTTGGTGTTTACATGTATTGCGCAACAAGACTTTGTTCAGTCTAACCACTAATTGCAGGCTTTGAGATATTGGTGTTTAGTTTACTGGCCCAACTTTGCCCTT